ATCTTTTTGTTGAAAATTACTTATTAATATAAGTTTTCAAAAATTTGTAAAAAACCAAGTTAACTTGTGATTGTGAATACCACTAATAGAAACTATAGGTTTAATTAAACAATCAGGTTTATGAATTTTAGGCAAGCCATATAATGCATCACTGTGCTGTCTGACTGTTCTAGTTTTAAAATATGAGGCTTTCACATTTCAGTGTTCTCTTACATTAGTTTACCAGTACTTGGTATAAGAAGGTAATGCTAAGATACTTTGCCTTTTTATCTCAATTAATTTATTTTATGGGTTTAACTAAATAGTACTAGGAAGAATAATTTTTTCCAAATATCTTTTATAAATGCTAATATTTTTCAACGATTAATTTTTGAACTGTGGTAGCTTGATGAACAAAGAATGTAAACTTGATACAATTATCCAAACTCCCAATTTTTATTATTTCTTCTCGTGCCTAATGGCTGAGAGTAATGTTGTCACCCCTCTGCATGTGTGGTGGGGGGACAATATAACTCAGTTTTCATCTGATTTTGATCAAACTTAATACAAAGTTTGAGTGCCCCCAAAATATCAGTTTATTAAATTTGGGTGAAAGTAGCACAAAGTAAACCACCTTTCTTGTTGTAGTGGTAGCATGCTGGGATGTCAAAAACAAATTGAGATAGAATGTTGGCAGCTACACCTGTAGTTTTGAGGAATTTTTTGGTGTATAATTTAGGTTGGTTACTGCAGAAGTCAAACATTGCTTTGAGTGCTTTCCTAGTTCCTTTTGAAATTATGCCCTCATTTTCACCACAAGTCTTAATAGAAAAATATAAATTGTCTATTTCTGAATTTCTCATCTAGTTATTGGTCTGCAGTTAGAAATAATGTTTAAAAACGTATTTAAAACTAACTTTCAGAGTGTAAAGTTAATAATTACATAAATTTTTTATTTTAATTAATTAACAGCTCTTTGTCTGGTAATATATGCTAGTTTAGCTGTGTATATCCTACAAGATGTGTTATTCTATTTAGTTTGAATAAGCTAACATAAAAGATGGCAATATGGTATATGATGATTTTGTTTCTAATACCAGCTTTCAAGTGAATTAGATGCATATCAAGGGTTTTTTTCTTTTAAGATTTTTTACATATAAGATGGAAATAAGACATTTGTATTATATTGCTAATATTACTTTCTACTGCTTACTGTAATGTTGATTTTATTTTTACAGGGAAACCCAGTTTCAAAAAGAAAACGTAACAGATATACCTGAATGCTGTATCAGAATAGAATATTTGAGGTATTAATTTATTAAAAGACAAAAGCAGCAAAATGCTGCAATTTAAATTTGGACCAATTCTCTTATTGTTCAGTATTTATGGCTTACTTGAATGCACTGGATCTTTGGAAATAGAGAGGATAGCTATTCCTCATGATGCAAGTCCAGGTTATACCCTTAAAAAGTTTCAATGCATGGGCAACCTCTTCAGCTTACAGCCAAGTGATTTTTCAGAAAATTTTGCCGTACTTAGTGATGGATTACTTATGATTACCAAGGATGTATCTCATCTTATGAACAGACCAGTCACTTTGGTGGTGCATGAAGAACTCCCTACAGAGGAGACAAAGGATCATCCTGTATCAATACACGTTATCCATAAGAGCAAACTACTTAAATTCTCAAAGGACTGCTACCATGGTTCTGTGTTTGAAAACCAACCAGCTGGAACTGTTGTTGAAGGTCTTCAAACTTTAACAGCATCTAAGTATCCAAATCATTCAGTATCATATTCGTTTATCTCAGGAAACGAAGATGGTTCCTTTACTATCCAGAAGCCAGAAGTCAACAGCTCATTTGTATCAATTCTCACTAACAGAGTGCTAGATCATGAGGTTCAGGCTGACTATGAACTTTTGCTTCGAGCCAATGATTTTAACAAGGCTGACAGTGATGAAGCTCTAGTCAAAATAAAAGTTAAGAATGCAAATGACAACTCTCCACAGCCAATTCAAGAAGTCTACAGCTTTAAAATCCCTCTAGACACAGAATTATATTCAGTCATTGGGAATGTCAGTGCAGTTGATGCTGATGGTGATCAACCTGTTTACCACTTAAGCAGTCGCCATCCTAAGTTTATTATAATTCCAAAAACTGGCCAAATTTTACTTATTAATGTACCTGAAGAGAAATCTTATCGATTAATTGTTCGTGCTCATGATAATAAAAAGCCCCAAAGGTACAGCCCAGATATTCCTGTTTTTATTGAAGTTGCTAGCAAGGAACTACTTTTTGAGCCAGAGGAGTCTTGGGAAGATAATTCAGTTGAAACATTAATACGTTCTAAAAGGTCAGTTCGCCCAACTCAGAGCTATGATTATAAGGAAACAGATGGTCACACTGTAGGGTTGACAATTCTTGAGCTTGAAAAGAAAAATCCCCAAGAAATGTTCAAAATTGAAAGCCCTAATCGTTGGGTTGATGTGAGAAGTAATGGTGAAGTCATTGTAAAAGAAGTTTGGGATTATGAACAACTTAGCAAAGACAAATTTATTGACTTCTGGGTGTTTGTGACAGGACCAGGAATTGCAGGTTAGTTCTAAGAAAGTTATCCCATTAAATTTAAAAGTTTAGATAACTTAGCATGGTCAAAATGGTAGTACATTTAAGTGTTTTACACTCACAAGAAATAAACCTATCATTCTATAGGTATTTCAAGAACTTGTAGCATTTTGCCACAATTTAATTGTTCTTATTGTTAGCCAACACTGGGCAGCTGGTACATAGTTTAATAGTAGTTTAAACATTTGTTTAACAAGTAAAAGCTTGGAATGGTCTATTCTTTCATTGGGGGTGTGTCTGTGAGCCAGACTAGACCAAGAATAGACCATTCTAAGCTTTTACTTGTTGTTAAACAAATGTTTAAACAACTCTGTTCAACTTAGTATGCTTGTTAGGCTCGTAAATGTTGTGTTGCTCATACACACTATGATACTCTGTAATAATGTGCACAGAGATATATATAATACACATTTATTCAGTAAACACAAGTCTTTGAATAAATGTTTTTAATGGTTATGAAACATACCTAAAACTTTAAAAAGATGCAAGTAATTAATATCAACAACAAATATTCTTTTTGTTTTCACTTGCTATTTATTGATGGTAATATATTGTCCACAAATTATCAATTCAATATGTTTTAAGTATAGAAACATTTTCTTGCACAGTAATTAAGCTTTTTTTGAATAGGAAGAATCCTTTAGCATAAATACTTCCTTTGGTCTGTGTTCTCTATTTGGGGTTTTATTAGTATTTTTGTACTGAGATAAGGTAGTATAGTTTGTACTAAACTTTGTTAACCAGCCACTTTATAAAATTTTTATATGAAAAAAAATCATGTTAACGGCATTTGTCCATTTCAAATTCAAAGTTGGACATTTAAAATAGCGTTTCAGATCTATCATGTCTCCCACAGGTAACTAGATTTGAACTGCTATTCTTACATGCCTCTGATTTTGAATGTGAAATGTACAAATTAAGGGAAATGTGAAAAGAAAAATTGCTGCTAACATAGTTTTTACCCCCAAATAATGCATTTTTTTCAGTACTTCTATGTTGTATTGGTATTTACTTTCCTCTACAACATAGAGGCACTAAATCAGCAGTGTAATGTAAAATGAATAGGTGATAACTGATGTCAAATAATACCATGTTGAATGGCACTCTGTAAAAGGTTGTGGCATGAAAACACTTTGATCCCCCATCTGTTCACATAGGGTTAAACTATAACTTTTTATCAACCTATTGTACTGCATATATAAATAGCAATTCAAGGAATCTTGTCTTTCATCATTCAGCTCAACTGATAAGTTTTGGTATTGAATGAAGGACTTCTTTGGCAGTTACTTTTCGAAAACAATAGATTGATCTGAAATGCTATTTTTACATGCCAGTGGTTTTTAATCTGAAATGGGCAAACTAAGAGGATTGTGGAAAAAGGATCTTCAATTAACATGATTGTCATCACAAATTTTATTCCTTGATTTCCAAAGCTTCATCAGCTTTTGGATGGCATTTAAATTGTAAGATTCTTCATATGATTGATCTTTAATTCCTCAAACCCGAGCGGACACTTCCAGCATCCTGGTGAAAATTCTGATTTACCCACTGGATGGTGGCATTGTCTGATAACATTTACATCGCTTTGGCTGAAAACTAATCCAAGCGATATTATTATCCACCTCTAATAAATAGACCAATAAATTATATAATAAATATATAAAATAAATAATAATAAATTTATAATGTATGGTAATAATTATTAGGACATCATGAAAATAATTCTGGAAGAATGCACAAAAATTGTGGGTTTAAAGAATTAAGGTAATATGATGAAACTTTTTAAGTTAATTTGATTATATTACTTTGTAGTTGTCCATCATTTAATAAACAAATTTAAGTATTTCTCTTGATTAGTCATATAAGTTAGTGAATATTGTTGGCATTTTTGTTTTTCCTTTTTACAGAAAATTTTTTGAATACTTTTATTTGGGTCATTTTAAAAGAAAGAACTTGGTAAAATTTTGATATGATTAGCAGATGTTCTGTTGACTGATTGTTGAGCATAATGTAATAAAGTTGGTGTCACTTGGCCCTGTTTATGAATCGGGAATAATTCGTTACATATAATTAAAACCTAACTATTAAGTATAACATGTTTCAGTAGCTTCATCATTTATATGATTAATTTATGAATAAATAAAATGTACAAGAATTTATCTTATGATCCATCTGTGATCCTAATGAAATACAGCTGTTACTACATGGCCTTGTTTGTTAATGGGATAAGTGCTTTATTTTTTTTCCACATAATTTAAAAAGTAATTCTAAATTATAACTTGTTTTAGCAGCTATGCACAAAAATCCAAGAAAATTTTTTTTTCTAAAATACAGGTTAATCTTGAAGTTATTTTTTTTGGTTGTACAGTTACTGAAGACCTCTGCCTAGTAATATTGAACAAATGTCCAAATATATTCTCCATTAGAAAGATTGTGATTAGAATTTGATATGCTTTCCAGCTTGGATCAGTCTTTCTTTTGCCTAACATTGATTTTGGTGTGTAGATGACATTATATTCTTGGGAAGTTGATCTTTTACAATGTAAAATTTAATACAAGATATTCTGCCATTAATGTGCTTTTATCCATATCGAGCCAAGTCATATATCATAATTAATATCCTGGTAAGGTATTAAAACTTGTATAACAAAAAGGGAATTTAAATGTTTCTGTAAGTATTTTGAAGAAGGATCGTTCATAAATGTTTCAGTTGGCTGGAAGTTGTAGGTGAATTATTATTACAATTTGTTTGTTATTTGGCCATTGTTTATCGTTATTCAGGAATAACCTGCTTTACAATTATGTAAAAACGGAAGTATCGCTAGATTTATCCTTTAGGCCTTTCATGTCTTTGCTAACAATAGCCTTAGAAGGTAGTTTACAATCAAGGGCGTGGCCATAAGTTGACTTAATATGTGTGGCACAGTTTAAACCGCATATACATTTGACTTTATGTTTCAGAGGTTATTTAGTTGAGTCATAATGACAAGTTCAGTTGAAGTTTGGGCCGAGCGTCGCTCATTGGTTAATGTGCTGGGCTGTGAATTTGTGGGTCCGATTATCGCGTACCGTTACCTGAGAAGAAAAGTGCCCAGCACTATGGTGACCCATATGGGACGATCAAATCCCTCTTCTTGGAGAGAGTTGATGATGGATGCTATTGATTGACTTCCCTCAAGTCTGTTAGTTCAGAATTATGGCCGGCTAGCTTTATAGCCCTTCAGTAGCTTTAAGCGAAAATACGAAAACAACAACAACAGTTTAAGTTTAATATTGTAGTAACTTTTGGTCCAGAATGGCGTGTATTATCACTGGTTAATATTACTTATGCTTATTAACTATCTCGCCTTCTTTTTTGCGTATTTTTAGTAAAAGATATATTTAAAAATATTGCGTTGTCACAAGAAATGAATTCTGTTGTAATTAAAACCACTCATAATAGAAAACATCAAAAAAGCATGGAATTCAGAACCCGTGTACATGATACAAGATAAGTTCTTGTTAAAATACCAAACGAGAAAGAAGTTAACAACATGTAACTTGTTTCTTAAATATTACGCCAATTCATTGCCAAGGAGGGAGTCGTCAAAGAAATCCCAGTTTGTAAAGTGACTTCACTCGCTGGTATAGCTGTAATACCTGTGTTGTGAAATCCCTTTAGACTTGCTCTGTGTTTTCTTAACCGGATGTTTATATCATACGCATGTAAAGTTAAGGGATGTCGAATCTGTTTTTGGCTATGTACTTGACTCTGGTCTTATTGCGTGAATTAGACGCAGTATGTGATTTATAATTTGTACGAGTAAACGAAAGTTGTTGTTGTTGTTTTTTTAACGTTAAAGCTATGGTGGATGTACGTATGCAATTTTTACTTTCTTAGAGGTGGATTAAACCAAGATGTAGCATTGTGTTGTACGTGGGTGTGATCTACTGTTAAACGGAAAGCAATATGAAGATACAAATACTGTTTATGTTTGAAATTCATGACTCGTTATTTCATCATGCGCTTGTTTATTAAAAAGAAAGGGTGGGAAGAATATTAACTTCTCCAAGGAAAGCCGTTTCCGTAACGATAAACATGAAATTTGTAAAGGAACGATTCTTCTTTTTTTGCATTTTCTGTGTAGTGCATATTATTTCATCGTTATTTGGATAACGTGTTATATATAATTGTATGAGCATTTTTAAATAGCATAAAGGTAGTTTGAATAAAAACAACCATAAATACAGGTTTAAAATCTTTTTTTCTTGTTCAGAAGAACACATAGGTAACAGAACATTTAGACGTGTACATTTTAACCGTTAGGGCGTGATAAATAAGGTGAAAATGAAGGGAAAAATGACGCCGGTGCTACTTTGGATATAGGAGGGCGTGCAACGTATTTGAATACCACCTTCATACCGTTGACGTACGATGGTACTTTGTTCTTAAACTGGTTTATCTTTTCCCCCGTCTTTCCCTCCTGTCTCATCGTTCTAGTGTCTTGCACACGTACTTTAAATCATCGCTTGAGGTAAAAGGCCGTTGAACCTGTTCAGTGTGGAGGAGAAGGAGCTGCTTTTATGATGTGGCTGTGACAGAAGGCGGGGATTTGGTTTTGATTCGAATCATTTTTTTTTTCATACACTACTAACCATTTTACTATCACTGAAACAAAAATGTATAATGTAGGTTGTTATTCATTGTGGCGAATTTGCAATTTCTTTAGTAATTGTTAAGGGATATATTTTGACCTTAATATATGGTATATCAAACCCTTACAAGAGATAGATTAAGATCCTGCAGTACTGGGAATACGTCTTCAATACTATCTTTCAGAATGAAATAACTAATTGTAGGTACATTCGGGGATCATCGATATTTGTAATGTTACAAACAAATACACCGAATATCGAACATCCTCTGAGAACTTTTGTGCAAATCTGATCAGTCAAGTAATTTGAAATTCCAGTTATTCATTCATCTTACA